TCCAAGTTCATTCCAGAACCTAACTGAAAATCTTTCTCCTCACATACAGGGTTTAAGACCTCATAACAATATCATCTCAACAGAGCACTTCACTCTCGGACTGCAGGCTTACTTATGGTTCATATTTAAAAGTAGAATGGGAGGCAGCGCCTTCAGCTTTCAGGGCCACCTCCAGTTTGGCACAGACATCCTCGCTACCTTTAAGATTAGGCTTCAAACTTTCCCCTTGGATAAAGCATCTGGTCAGGGATGGATCCGGTCACCCTGAACCCTCCCTTAGTTACAGTGCAATAGGCCTAGGTTACTGTGGGCTTCCCATGATGCATTGAGTGTTTCTTGTTCGCTCACTGTGCTTACACACCTCTCTGTATGTAATCATTATTTATCTATCATCGTTTGCTCTTTTCCACAGTCTGTCACCCTCCCCTGGTTGTGCCAGAGGTTCTTCCTGTTAAATGTTGTTTTTACTTTCCACTGTGTGCTTGGTCACGGGGGGTTGTTGGGGTTGTCTCTGTATACGGTAGAGTCTCTACTTTACAATACAGAGCACCTTCAGTAACTGCTCTTGTGACTGGTGCCATACGAATAAAACTGAATTATTGTTGAATCATAAACACTGTCCTGTACTGAGGCAAGTGAGACTATCTGATAACTCTCCGTTTCTCTCGGTAGGCCGTCCACTCCTGGGGAGTTTCATCACTGGTTCAAGTTTTCTTCAGTTGTGGATAATAGCCTTCACCACAGTTTGCTCCCAAAGCCTGGCTTTGTAACCCTCTTCAGACTGATGGAGGTCAGAGTCTTTGTTTCTTACCTGTTCATACGTTTCTTTAAGTTGTAGTTAATTAATGATTAAACAAGAAGGCAATTACTTTTCAACATATGGCCCATTAGATCTGTATACCTGTGTTCAGATCAAATCCTCATTTATCATCTTGTACCAACTTGGATTATCTGATATCTAATGTCACAATTCAGTTGATGATCTGAAACGTGTGACAAATACACCAAAAAAATAAATAAATCAGCATTGCAAGTTACTGAAATGGTACACACTGTTAATCTAATCATATTTTCTGTGCTGTACATTTGAAAACCTCTTAACTTAAAGAGTAGGGGGAGCCTGAAGAAAGTATTTACTTACATTAGGTGTGTCAAACTCTGGGGGAGGGCTATTAACTGAAAATGAAGAAGAGACAGACAGTCAGGACAATTCTCATAAAAGTTTACAAAGTACACGGATTGAGAAAAACATCCATAAATTACTTTTTCTGTTAAATATAAAACTGTTAGTGTGTGCATTCGTAGCTTTTGCACATTGTGCATCATTTTAAGTGTAACGTGATTCTTTTGATAGTCACATAATCCTTTTATCTGTAGGGGCACAAAAAACAACTCAGAAATTGGTGGAAGTGAATTTGGAGCGCCGTCCCCGTCCGACTGCTGTTCTGTGCTTGGGCAGACTGACTGTACAGATTCCTGCCAGTCTAAAAATGCTCATCTTTGGATCTGTTTGTATTTGGGAATCTCTCCAACTTTGGTGTTTGTTCAGCAGGAACATCCACTCAAAATACACAAAGAATAAACACTTGAATACATTACCAGGCAATAAAACAACTGCATGCATTACAGTCCCTAAACGTTAACACTCCAAATAGGCAGTTCGCCCAGATACTCACTGACGTTATCCACCTCCATGGCTCCTGAACCCCTCATCCTGAGGTACATGAGGCCCAGCAGCACAAAGAAGAGACACGCCGCTGTGAGCAGGAACATGGACAGGTAGTGAGCGCTAAAACTACCTGAGGAAGCTAGCTCTTCCCTTTTGAACTGCTGGAGAAGCTCCTCTTCGGGAGCAGACACGTTTCTCTTGAGCGCTGCGTGGCCGTAGGAATGGTTGGGAGCAGGGGTGTGAGTAGAGTGGTTGCGCCTGTACGTCTGCGACAGACCGCTGTAGGTGGAGAAGCGCGGTCTCAGCTCGGTGCTGTTGCTTCTGGATGCTCCGTCCTCCCCGGTGGCCGGACTGTTTTTACCGGTGTTGCCTTTGTGGTTTTCGGTAAGTGACCTGTAGATGGGTTTCCTTGGAAGTGTGTGACTCCGCGAGTCTCCCAAGCGGCTATAGTCCCTTCTCCTTAAATCATCTTCCTCTTCATCCTCACCTCGACTCCCCCCCATGCTTAGAAAACGACGAGGCGTAGCTTCTGTGTTCTGCCCATCGGTCGCAGACCCTCGATCAGTAACGTCGGAAGATAACGCCACACTGGGGTGGTTTCGTCGAGGCTCCAATCTGTCGCATTCTGGGTCGCCGACGCCAAGCCCACTAACTTCCTCCTCGTCCGAGTCTGAGTAATCGCCAGCTAATTTGCTAGCATTCAGGCGAGACGCCCCGCGACCATTTAAAGAGCGAGATTTCTTTTCCATATCCTCCTCATAATTGTCCTCGTCCCCTGAGTCGTCGTAACGCCGTAGTCCCGCATCGGGACTGGGTCTGTCACCGACTCCCCAGCCCAGTGAGACACGTCTCTCTCCGTTCTGACCCAGGGAAAAATTGCTGCTTGGTGTCGCACTGTGGTCGTACCGACTCTTGATAGCCACACTCGGCGGTGAGGCAGGCCTAATCTTAGGCTGCTGTTGAGAACTGGAGCTTCTGTTCGCTCTGCCACTGGGACCGAGGCCTTTCCTCTTTAGTGGGGTTTCAGCATCAGACTCGTCGGAGCTGAAGCCGAGGAGGGAGGACTTCCGGCCCGGTCTCCTGCTTGTATTCAGGTGCGTGACGTCATGGCTGACTGGCCTAGATGCCACTGTGCTACCGCCGCCAGTGGTACTGTTAATGGCACCGATAGTACGGGTTTTACCAGGTCTTAGTCCTCGCTGCTGTTGCTCCTCGCGAAGCTTCTTGAGTTTCTTCAGGTACACCGGACGAGTGTTTTCAGTAACGGGCCCTGGAGTGAAACCAAAGCGTTTTAATTCCAAAAAAAGCTCCTCATCCGTTAACTGTGTTGACGCCATCTTGAAAAGACCTCGAAGACGGTTCTGTGACGGAAATGACGTAGAGGTGAAGTGGCAACCAACTGGGCTGTGTTCAAAATCACCAACAAGCTGCGAAAATATGTCGCAGACACCCCCTTTATTACGTCGCGGATGTTTTCAAATAATAGTTTGTTTCACTTTTTCTGTGCGCATATTAAAAATCTAATTACTTTTTTTTCAAACAAATAGCTTTATTGAACGTGTAAACAAACAAAAGTAACCATCTAACAACTGAAGGCACGGTAACAACGAAAAACATACAATTTCAATATGAAAAATATAAATAAATACAAATCACACAAAAAGGAAAAAGAGTCAGAGAAAACAATCACATTAAATCAAAATTGTTAGGTAATAAAAGTAATTTCACGTCACAGACTCACTGAACCGCTTTACGTCATTCTTCCAGTAATTCCAGTCAGGCTTTGCTTTGAAAAATCTGCATCAGTGAATAAAATATTTTCCAAATAAATTTACTTTTTTTCTCGTTTGTTTGTTTTCTGTTTTTTAAACAATTGTTGTTGTTATTTTTTATTTACAAATTCCACTTTACTACTCAGTGAATGGAGTAAATGGTCCAAAAAATGAACGAGAACATCTTCAGAGACTGGATGAAGTCCTGCAGCGATTAGAGGAGGCGGCCCTGAGTTTAAATGTCAGTTCACAGAGAAAGAAGTGACATTTTTAGGACACCGGGTGGATAAGACAAGCTTACATCCAGTGCTGGCTAAAGTGAAAGCAGTGCAGGGGGCGCTACCCCCAAAATCAGTGACAGAGCTCAAAGCTTATTTGGGGTTGTTGAACTACACAGCATTCTGATTTTAAGCCCTACAGACAGAGACACCAGGAGATGAGTGTGCAGGGTGGGTGTGTGCTGTGGGGGGCAGAACGAGGTGGACGCCCATGTTAGAACAGCTACATCAGTCACAACCAGGAAAAGACGCATGAAGGGCCTGGGCAGAAGCTCATGTGGTGGCCACATATGGAGACTGACACTGCAGACAAGGTGAAGTACTGCAGTACTTACTTTACGCAGTAAGTACATTACTGTACTATATATGTACTGTATATGTACATACACACACACATATATACATATAACCAAGTACCTGCAGAGGGTCAGGCAAGTCCTGAGGAGGGAAGGGAGGGGACCGGGGACTGGTGAGTGTCAGCACCACAGTCCAGGATGAGACAACGAACATCCAAGAATACATCAGGAAGATGGAACCATCATGGAAGGACAGGCCCCTGCACGGTATGTACCACCGGCAGATAGAGGAGGTGGCTGATATCCAGAAATCCTACCAGTGGCTGGACAAAGCTGGACTGAAAGACAGCACAGAGGCACTAATCATGGCAGCACAAGAACAAGCTCTGAGCACAGATCCATAGAGGCTGGGGTCTATCACACCAGGCAAGACCCCAGGTGCAGGCTGTGTAAAGATGCCCCAGAGACAATCCAGCACATAACAGCAGGGTGCAAGATGCTAGCAGGCAAGGCATACATGGAACGCCATAACCAAGTGGCCGGCATAGTGTACAGGAACATCTGTGCCGAGTATAACCTGGAAGTCCCGAGGTCAAAATGGGAGATGCCCCCAAGGGTGGTGGAGAATGACCGAGCTAAGATCCTGTGGGACTTCCAGATACAGACGGACAAAATGGTGGTGGCTGACCAAAATAGGCGAGTGGCTCCAGCAGATCCCGGGAACAACAGCAGAGATCTCTGTCCAGAAGAGCGCAGTCCTGGGAACAGCTAAGATACTGCAGGACCCTCAAGCTCCCAGGCCTCTGGTAGAGGACCTCAGCTTGAAGGATAGACCGCCCACAGGGGCGAGCTGGGTGTTTTACATATGTCTTGCAGTCCTGTGTTGATCAACAGATTAACAGCTTACTGTTTTAATCAAGTTAAAATGAATCTAACAATCATATGTATACAATCATTATATAATCAGTTTCACACACATAAAGACCATGATTTCACCTAATTGTTTTAATAAAGTCTTTTTCATGTATAGACTTGCAAAAACAAACACAGTGAATTTAAAACAATACCAAGAAGCTCATAAATTAAAAAGTAAATATCACAATTTTAGAATTTAGATAGTGCATTTACACTTTTATAAATCAGCATGTATTCATCTGGCAGACCATTAACAGAGGGGGAGTGAGTCTGTGGTGACTCAGCAGTAAATCTTATGCATAACAAATTAAAACAGCGGGCCGTTCACAAATGTGCACACAGAGGTTTTGCCTCCTTCCTAATTTTTCTCTTTCTGCGTATTTGTCACACATTTCAGATGATGGACTGCTGTACAACAGTCATATAAATAAATACATTTTAATATTAGTTTAGAAGTTTTTAAATTCTAATTTTATTTAAATTGATGTCATGAACTACTTGACTACACCTAATAACTGCTCGTGTCACCCTCAGCAGCAGCTGCAATCAAGCGTTTGTGATAACTACCAGCGGGTCTTTGTTATCACTGAGGAACTTTGGCCCACTCCTCTTTGGAGATTTGTCATAATTTAACAACACTGGAGGGTTTCAGACATGAACCTGTTCACATCATACCAAAGCCGTGGCTCTCACAGGTTGGGACACACTGCTTTACATTGTGACAGGACGTGTTGCTTTTCTCTAAGCCTACTTAGATCTGCAAAGTTAAACAGAACCTGTGTTTTTCAGACAGGTCCGAGACCTTTTCTGTATTTTCTCCTTTATTTCAACGTGATGTACAGTTTATATAATTACTTATCAGCATCGTTCTATGAGCACGTTTGGTTCACGTCGTGGAAAACTGTACTGACAAAATTATTATTCATTTTAAAGATGTGCTTAGATTTTCTAACAAAGCCAATGTTGTTTGCAAATCTTTGTGTGTGTGCATCATTCAGAATCCAATCAAATTCAGAAAGGAAGTACTGACCAATCAGATCTGTGCACACACACACACGTCTGTGAACACATCTGATTGGTCAGTGTTTCCTTTCTCAATGCTTCCTGCATTTGCATCCATCCAGCTCTCCTTTCAGTGTGAGGCTCTGTCTTCACCTGTAAACTGCATGAACTGGAGCAGCACGACTGGAGAGGTCTGTGTAGAGCTGCTGTTTAAAAGAAATGAGCTGCATTAGGGGCAGACGAGCTGCTCACTGGCTCCATATCAAATCAGGCAGTGTGGCCTTCCTCCACAAAACGACGAGTACTTGTTGGTTTTACAAGACAGAAAAACTGATAATAATCCACAACGCTGGTTAATTTGGGGTTTCAAACAAACAGCAGAGAACAACAGAAAGAGCTTACCAAGAACACACCGATTGTTTTAACAGTTACAAAGGTCAATAATGGGATTTTTGGTGCACCAACATCAACACTCACAAGCATAAATTAATCACAGAACAGGCAAATTGTGGGTTTGCAGCACTCAGTGCTTCTTCATCGAGTCGAGGACGCGGAGAATGTGCAGGAAGAGGTTGACAATGTCCAGGTAGAGGTTAATGGAGGCCAAGATGTGCTCCTCAGGAGAGAGCTGCTTCATCAGCATGCTGGTGTCATAGATGATGAAGCCACAGAAGACCAAGGCCCCAGCTCCAGCCAGGAACAGACCTGCATCGTCACTGTGGAAGAAGAGCTGCAGAGAGAACAGAGCACAAGGGGATTTAAAGTGACTCCCATCGGTTTGCTCCTAAAGCCAAACCACCACTGCTCTGCATCCACCTCAAACTGTTATTTAATACCATCATCCCTGACGTTCTAGTGATTAGGCTGCCGTAACTTCCCACTTGGATCGAAAGCTTCCTTACAGAGATCAGAGAGCCCTTCAGTCCCGGCCTTGTTCAGCCGACTGCTCTCTGGAAGGAGGTAAAGAACCAGCACACTCCTAACACTGACAGCACCCAGCAGCAGTTTGTGTTTGATTTTACCAACGTGTCTATGTTTTGTTTCATCGTGTTTATAGCCGTGTTCAACTTCAGCTGCAGCACTGACATCTTATCCTATACAAGGAAAAGCAGCAGAACAAAGGCTGGTTTTAAACTTGGAAGTCTTCTGCACTACAAGGCCTTTTATTTCAACAAGCCCTTTACCCCAGCAGGCAAGAAAAAGACCGGCTCTGCAGTTTGCACGCTTCACAACAGGGAAACTACAGGTTTCATTTGTGCACGCCGTCTCACTGCCACAGCTTGCTGCTTCTACCCGTGACCAGTTCACCTACTGTGGCTCAGCAAATGTTTGATGTGGAAAAAAGTCCAACATTACAATTCTCCAACTAAACTTCTTTACATTGGTGCACAGCCCATGTGTAGGCTTAGCTCAGAAATACCATCAGCCCTTTTTCTCTGTAGCTTTCTGTTGTTTGTAACTCGTTGGCCTTTGTTCCCCTTTCATTAGGCCCATGTGACACTGATATCAGGCCCCTCCACTCACCCTCATGAAGGTTCCAATGATGAGGATCCACAGACAGGAGAAAAGCCTGCAGGGATGAAACAGACAGTCCACTTTAGCTGGACTCAGTTTGTCTGAGCTGCACGTCAGATAGTAGGACATCAGTGGAAAGCTCATGTACATTTCTAGCTTCAGATTGAAGGTGTTTCGTGTCGTCACAACTTTCAAAATCTACGAATGTTATATTTATATACTCCACTCATCTCATCTGCATGTTACATCTTGTGTGTGATCAGGCGGCACATTGAAGGAGCTCGGACTGGACTTTGTTAAGTTTCTTTGAAGACGTTTCATCCGAGAAGCTTCTTCAGTTCTCAGAGCAACAGGTGGAGAGTCGCAGATTTGAAGCCCTGTGGGACCCAAGAGGGTCGTGGACCTCCTATTGAGCCTCTGCCCAAAAGGCTTAAAATCTGTGACTCTCCACCTTCTAGTCTTAGAACTGAAGAAGCTTCTCTGATGAAACGTCTTCAAGGACGTCTTCTTAAGTCCAGACGCTTTCCTGTCCGAGCTCCTCAGACTGCGATGAGCTGGACGACTGAGAACCTTCACAGACATTTAAAGAGTCCCATCAGAACACAGAACTTACCAAGCTCCCATTTTGCTGAAATCTCTTTTGGACTGAAAGGTGTAGGCTGTTAATACAGCGAACACAGCACAGGTGAGAAACAAAGCTTGCAGTATTGTGGAGTAATCATAGAAGGTGACTGTGGAGAGAAAGAAATCCCATCAGAGTCTACGGTAGCCTGGAAGGCTGGACACTAACCGAATGCAACTCTAAACACTTACGAGCTGTGGCAACAGACAGCGCCTCCAGAAGAGTCTGCAAGCAACACAACAACACAGCCATTATTAAAGCAGCAGTTACTGCGGCTGCAGCCGCTGAGCAGCTCAAAATGAAAAAGGAAACATGGCAACAAAGTAACGTGGGGAATGTTACAGCTTCATGCTGGACAGCATCAGGTTTATGGCTCTGTAACCACAGCTGAAACAGGTCACATATAAAAAGCCTTAAAGACCATTTTACACACACAAATACAAACAATAGAAAACAAGAACATTTTATGACTTCATACCATCTTAGAAACAACTTCTGTCATCTTGTTTAGTTGATATCATCCACCATTGTTTACAGTATGCCTCATCAGTTACTTCATCTATTATACATCTATAGTGAGTAAAACTGGTATTAAACACAAAAGGCCCATCAGTGCACTGATGGGTGTTACTGTCACCTGTGAATAGTCTTTTAAAATATATTTACTTGGAAAATTGGTGACGTGTTGAATACTTATATTACCCACTGTTCATAAACAAGCTACTGTTATACGTGTTAGCTTCTCTTCATGGAGGAAATAAACTGATCATTATGATTGTAATTCTGATCATTTGATCTACCAGAGACAGACGAACGTTGCTGATAACAAATGTGAATCATTTTTGCTTCGTGCCAAGGCGCCGACTGAAAGAGGCCACCACCATCGGTAATACCAGGAAAGGCTGAACATGGTCTGCAACAATGCTTAGGCAGGTAGTAACAGGACTCCAGGTTTCCTAGCTGAAGCATCACACTGCCTCTGCTGGCTCGCCTTCATCCCATAATGCACCCTGGTGCCAGGTGTTTCACAGGTAAGTGACGCACACACGCTCAGCCGTCCACGTGATGCACCAGAAAATGTGACTCATCTCTGTGGTCCACTGCTGAGGCTCACGTGCCCATTGTTGGTGCTTTGACAGTGGACAGAGGTCAGCACGGGCAGCCTGCAGCAGCTCGTTCTTGTTAGCTTGAGCTGCAATAACTCATCCATTGGATCAAACCAGACAGGCCAGGCATCGCTCCTCGCGTGCATCAGTGAGCCTCGACCACCCACGACTCTGTCGGTGGTTCACCAACGTTCCTTCCTTGGATCACTTTTTAGATACTGACCATTGCAGACTGGGAACGCCCTCAACAGCTGCAGCTTTGGAGATGCTCCGACCCCGTCATCAAATGTGGCTCCTGTCAAACTAACTCTAACCTTAAGCTTGTCCATTTTCCCTGCTAGTAATATACAAACTTCGGGGATAAAATCTCCACTTGCTCCTTAATCTATCCCACCCACTAACAGATGCTGTGATGAGGAGACGATCAGAGTTAATCACTCCACCTGTCGACGGTCACAATGATGATTGGTGATCATCGTCTCCTGGTGTAAAAGTATGTTCTTATAAAACATTCGTTTTATCACGAGCAGGAATTAGACCACGAATATTCTTGGACTGGGTTCACTGAAAAATGACTCACTGCCCATCACCGTTACTTTCCTGCAGCAGACAACAATTTTGACTGTTATGACAATCAATCAAATTTAAAAAATGTATTCAAGAAACTGAAAACAGAAGAACTTACAAAAGCAAACAGGAGGTAGAGGTTAGCTGGATGTTGGTGCCTGTACACAGCGAGAGCCACCAGAAGAACCAGCGAGAGCAGAGATGAAACCATCACCACAGCTGGGCTGAGGAAGGAACCAGGTCACAGTGAGACAATAAGGAGAACCAAGCTTCATAGAGATTATGTGCAAAACGAAGGATCATTTTATAACAGCAGGTAGCACAGACAGCACGCTGTGGACAGGTGATCAGACTGTACATGCAGCCACTCATCGCCTCTTAACACTTTGCTTGGAAAAAGAGAAATAAGAGCAACAATTTACTGAACCGTGCAAACAGAAGAGGAATTTCAGTTTACAGGCAAAACTGGTTTCGTACAATTCTCCTGAGCTTTAAAGTTCATATTTGGGAAAACCACCGTTCCTCCTCAGCACAGCCTGATGTGTAATAATGTCTCTATTAGAGCTGGGCGATAGAACGATAACGATATGTATCGCGATATAACTTTTACTCGATAGAGAAATTAAACTATCGCGATAGACCTCGCCGCTCTTGTCCTCTTAAAAAAAAAAAGAAAAAAAAAAAGGTCAGCCAATCCAAATTAAGTAGCGCAGAGCCGAACCAATCACAGCCGCAGCGTCACGTCGCGTGACTTGTTACGTACAGCACAAGTGCCAAGCCGCACGTGTGTTTGTTTGGGAAGCAGCCAGCGGGTAATGGAGGAAATGAGTGTGCCGACTAGAAAAATCAACCGAGCGTGACCGAAGAGAAAACAGATGATGGTTCCAATGCCGGAGAGATTGTCGAACGGAAGAGCCAAAGAAGTTCCGTAGTGTGAAGGTATTTCGGCTATTTCAAGTCTGACAAAAAACAGAGTAGCGTGCACTGTAAATTGTGCCGAAAGCAAGTCTGGAAATACAATAAACTGGTGCATGCGTCACACTGTGCGCCACGTTATTGTTTCAGTGAAATGAATTTCTACAATACTGTTAATTCTACTCTCTGCAGTGTTTAAATGCTTACATATACACACAGTTACTGTCCCTCCACACATACGACTCGGTTCTGCTTCTATGCCGCAGCTTTGTTTACTTTTTCCCACCGAGGCTTCTAGACTTCTGATTGGCCAACATTTCTGCATGGTTAGGAATCTAGCGCCACCTGCTGCTTTGGCATGTTCATAGCAGCGTTTTCCTTCATTTCTGCCTTTATGTGTGGACGGGATTATTTTTAAAATGAAAACGGAAAATCTCTGTTTTCAAAAACACCCGTGTACGTGTGGACGTAGCCTCAGTCTCTGACTGGAAGCGCTAATTCATCATTCGGCTTTTGTCAGACTAAAGTAACTGTTACAACTGTTTGAAAAGCTCAGCTATACAACAAGGAGAGATTGAGAATTTCCTTTTAGTTCTCAGTTTATTTGATATTGACAAAAGTTAGTCAGTTTTGTCTGTTCTTCTGTAAAACAAACTAAGATTTATTTTTAGAATTAATATTTTGTTTCTAAGTGGAATTGACAGTTTAGTCTGTTTCGTTTGTTCTATTTTGAAACTTAAACGCTTTAGCGGCTGCCTTTTGTGTAGTTTGCAATATTTGCCTTTATTTATCTGAAAAAGTCTCATGTTCCTTAAGTACATCTACCCTGTTGAACTTATTATGGGAAATAAATATTTAAATAAAAACAAGCTGCTGATTATTTCACATTTTACTTGTGAGCAACGGCACATTTAAATCTTACAAATATAGTTATTTGGCTTATATCGTGATAGATATCGTTATCGCCTGAAATGAAAAAAACATATCGTGATATGAAAAAATCTCATATCGCCCAGCTCTACTTTAAATCATCATCAGAAAAATTCCTCTGAGCTCCCTGAAGGACACCCCAAAGCTGCCTCTTTGGACACTGGCCACCTTTAACCTCACACTGTTTCACTTTTCTATCCAGACATCCTGAACTGCATTTGGCAGTTTGGGACCACTGCCATGAAAAATCAGTCGCCAATCAGAAGATTTCCAGATGGTGCTGCACGATGGCTCAAACTCTGAAAGTTCATTTCTATGTTCAGAAAACTACATGACATGAATTTTTGACAGGATGAAATTGAGCCCCAAACCACGACAGAACTGGTGATTTAATAATCTGACGCACTGGCCAATCAGGACACAAAGCAAACACGTTTCTCTAACATTTGTTATCAGCAGTTATTTGAGGCTTTGCTAATATGACAACGTAGCTTAACACTAATCTTGTCTACTTGTTAAATAAGATAAGATAAGATAAGATAAGATAACTCTTTATTGTCATTGCACAGTCATACATAGTACAGTAGTACAATGAAATTGGAAAAACTGTCCTACGTCGGCACTACATATAACACAACACGACACGATATGACACATCACAACGTAACAAACAACACAACACAGTATATTAACTTAGTATAAAAAGAAGAATAAGTGTATGTGTATTGCACACTGTTATTATTGCACATTAATTATTATTGCACCTTGTTATAAATATAAATATTATTGTTATCGTTTTAAACATTGTTACCTCCCCCTAAAAAGTCCAGGGAGGTATCCAGTCAGGTCAGCTATTTACATTGATCAGGGCTATTGCCCTGTTGTAAAAGCTGTCCTTGAGTCTATTTGTTCGGGACCTCAGCAGCCTGAACCTCCTGCCAGACGGCAGCAGCTTAAACACTTAAATAGTCACCAGTCGTGAGTTAGTCCTTCATGCTCTTCCTGACTCTGCTGAGATCCTAGCTGCTATGTTTATGCTGCTTCCAACAGGGACAGCCACACTGATGAACACGCTAAACACATGTTTTATTCACACATACTGATCGATGCAATGGGGGCAACTCAGGGAACAAACCATGACACTTTCAGTGGCAGACAACCAACTCCAACCCCTGAGCTACGGCCTCCTTTTCCCTGGACTTAAAATGAATGGGGGGGGGGGGGGGGGGGGAATCAACACTCGTGCCTCATCCACAAGATTTACAGAAAACTTGACCTCTGACCTTGAAACTCTGTCACAGGTCAGAGTTGTAGTAAACACACTATGGGATGAATTTCTATTTCGACGTCCCTCCTTCTCCAACGATCACATTCACAAACCTGCGTGTTCAGGTCCAGTTAAAACGTATCTGTATGTGACACTAACGTCGGGACTGAATGGCTACATTTACAATAACTGATGACTGTTTTTCCTTCTTTATCACTGCAATAGAACTTATTTATTTCAACGCTTTTGTAACATTCTCCAGATTAAAAGTGAAATAATAGAAAATATTCTGTTAATTAAATAGCATTAATATTCAAAAATAGAATAGCCAATAAAACCTGAAGGTTGTCAGGCTGGACACTTCATTATTTTTAATATTAATAAACATGTACACCATCATAACATCTTGTTCACAGCAGCATAAAATCCTTTGATCAAAGCAGAGTTTAGAATGCTGACACACTCGATATACTCGCTTTTCTTCACTGCAGCCCTCACACACTCCTTACACGACATCACACACTCCTTACACGACATCACACACTCCTTACACGACATCACACACTCCTTTAAAGAATTACAGACACAAACTTACTCGTTCGCTCGCACACTTATCAGTTTCAGGTCAAACTGTGCAATCAAAGTAGTTATCCTGTGCTTTTCAATGACATTAGGGTCATTATGGTAATCCCAGGCAAGGTGCCACATCCAAACCTCGTGGCGCTTTTGTGGATCTATACCTGTACCGGGCTGTAATCACAGCAGATGAAGACTGGTGAATCACACCATCTTTTGTTTATGTTTATTTCATTGATGTACTGTAAGAAGTATTCGTTTTTTGTGTTTAAAGACTAACCATAAGGCAGTGCCCCTAAAAGAGCTGTGAGAGATTGTACAAATGTGTAACGTTGCTGTCTATACATTTGCAGCAGTAAAGACGAACTCACAAAGCTACACTGCTTTTGATTCATCTTCCAAGTGTGCAGCATAATGATAAAGCAAATCTAATATTTGCAAGAATATGATGACACTATGATACAACAATATCAACTCTCTGTCTCTTTGAAACTGCACAACACTGAGATAGGAGATTTGTTGGCATCACTAAATATTACACATATTGAGGAGGCGGATTTAACCATTACTGCCAACTCTTGCGTAAACATGGATGATGTAATGAAAGCAGACGAGGAGCTTCCGCAGGAGATAATGTAACTTTAGATTCTCGTGAGAGGAGACGGAGTACTCTCTTTGTCTCCTGTCCTTAGAAAAATGAAACAGACAGCAGCACCTGGTTATATATGAAGCAGCTCATTCTCACCTTGCGATAACAAACTCCTTGATGGTCTGAGAGAACATGAAGAGAGCAGAGGTGGCTGTGGTCAAGATGATCTGCAAGCTCAGGAGGGTGTACACCTTCCTTAGAAAGCCTAATGAACCAAGAAACAGCGTTACAGTAGCTCAAAACCCATCGGAAGCTAACGAAACCAATAATAACTGTGTAGAGGAAAACCGTGAACACGGCCAATGATATCAGTGTTAGCTAGATAGCACGGGTCTGTTACTCACCCATACGGATCTGAACACTGGCCGTAGCAACATTAGTGCCGTAGTTAAAATCGTCTTCGATAGAAGACCGCGGGTATTTTTCACTGCTCATCTTGTTAAACCAGCGTTTTCTTGAGGTGTTCTTGTTTCTCAAGCTACGTAGTTGCTTTACGGAAGAGCAGAGTCCTTTTCTTCTTCTAGATTTTATCGGCTGTTGGCAAACAACTGAATGGTGCATTACCGCCACCAACCGGTGTGGAGTGTGAACTGCAACGTGGCTCAAAAAACCCCTCAAATCCTCCCAAAGTATTTACCCTCTTTTCAAGGTTCAAGGTTCAAGGTTCTTTATTTGTCACATGCATAGTTATACAAGTATAACACACAGTGAAATGTAGCCTGACACGCTCCTCGACATGTGCAAAAAAAATGGGGGGGGGGGGGGGGGGGGTGTAGAGGAAGAACATTATATATATATATATATATATATATATATATATATATATATATATATATATATATATATATATTAGTATATACATTGTGCATGTGCAGTAGTAGCAGCAAGCAGGTGAATTCTGTACATTAATATGAATAGATATCTGACTATTTTACAGGATAGACAATATAAACATATTTAAAATTAAAGGAATTGAAATGTACATTGTGCCTTGGTTTAGTGTCTGGAAGAGTCCTGTCTCAGTCAATTATAGATGATGTGAGAGGGCGGGTGTGTGTGTTTAGGGCACGGATGGCTTGGGGATAGAAGCTCCTCTTGAGTCTCTCTGTCCTTGCCCGGAAGATGCGGAACCTTCTACCAGATTGCAGAAGTTGGAACAGTTTGTTGCCAGGATGGGACGGGTCCTTCAGTATCTGCGCTGCTCTAGTCCGGCATCTCCTGGTGTAGGTGTCCTGAAGCGGGGGGAGAGCAATCCTGCAGCAGCGTTCTGCTGTACGGATCACTCTCTGGAGAGCTTTTTGGTCCTTCACACAGCTGTTCCCAAACCTGAATGTGGGCAGCCCATGTCAGGTCTGAGGAGATGTGGACACCAAGATACTTGACGGACTGCACCCTCTTCACTGAAGCTCCATTGATGATAATGGGCTTGTACTCTCTGTGCTGACTCCTTCTGAAGTCCACCACCAGCTCCTTGGTCTTGCTGACGTTCAGCTGGAGGCCACCTCTTTTAAAACTGAAATTAAGACCTGATAACTTTCACTTCTTGAGTCCATTTGCAGTAAATCAATCTATGAAAATGAAAAGATCTAGTTTCATTTTTATGTTTCTGAGGTTTTGGGTCAGTTGTCTACTCTCCACCTGATACTTGCAACAGTGTAATATAACATGTTCCATAGTCTAAGGAGCTTGGAAAGAAAAGCATCTGGACTTCTTTAAGTTGCTTGAAGACGTTTCACCTCTCATCCGAGAAGCTTCTTCAGTTCTAGGGTGAAATGGTGAGAGGTGAAACGTCTTCTCTAAATAATCTCAAATGATTCCTTGAACAGGACAATGAGTTCACTGTACTTAAATGACAACGATGGCCACCAGATCACAATCCAATGGTGCGCCTTTGGGATGTAGTTGAATGGAGGATTTGAATGAATGGCAGACAAATATTTAGCAACTATAGTTATATGTGATGCTATCACATCAATAAGGAGCAAAACTCCAGAATGTTTGTCTTGATGCATGCTCAATCATCCAGGTAAGGAAATCCTAGAAAGTTTATTGTGTCCATCTGGACGTTTTCAGTGGGAGAAACGTTTCGTCATCATCAGGTGACATCTTCAGTCTCAGCTGACTGCTGCTATAAACAGTGACTGAAACCAGCACCACTGAATGAACAATATGCTGAGAGGTCAGTTCCTTCATCATTAATGATCAATGCTCATGCAAACTGCCATGACCATTGATCAACAGCCACTGATCAAAGATAATTGATTAATGACAATTGATCAATGGGGAATGGCTGCAATCACAGCATTGTAAGATGGTGACAGATGTACCTTTAGGCCCCCTCCTCCATTCAGAGATGGTCTTTCCCTTTTCACGTAAATGGCTTCGTTGACTCCGCCCTCAAACCAGCGTTCCTCCCTGTCCAGGATGTTACATCCTCATCATTGAAAGAGTGTTCACTGGCCTGTAGGTAGACAGACTGCAGAGTCCTGCGGGGGACCTGATCCACAGGATGGACCAATTTTTGCCACAGTGTGTTTTGGGGTTAAAAGCCACAGAGACGCAGTGTTTAGAGAAAATGCGTCTCAGCTGTTTCAATACTCCGGACACATACAGGATCACGAAGGGTTCCCCTTAGGCAGCAGTCGTCCTTCTTCTCTCCTGGATCAGCTGGGGATTTTTTAGGCGCCTTTCCAGGTTTGACAAATGTCCAGCTGGGATAAACACATTAACTCAGGGCTTCTTTGATATGATGTTCTTCTGCTTCCCTAGCAACTGTATCTATGGGAATGGTGTTGTAGCGTCCTGATGACACCTTGACGAAATGAAATCTTAAATACTGAAATGTATGCTTTGGTTTGTGGTACACGTGGAGTTTAAAATGTTCCCCATTACTGACGAAACTCTCACATTCTAAGAAGCCTAGCCTATCATTATTCACATAGTTGGGTTATTTAACATAATCCCTGGTTCTTTGATAACAGAGTGAGGTGTTTCACTATGGGTATCGCCTTGGCGTGACTGTAGAATATATATAAATATAATGGAAGTGCTGGATATACAGTCCGGCCCAAGTCTTCTGTCAGAAAGACTGCAGCAGTCCAGGAGTTTGGTTAACTGTCTTTAATTAAGCTCCACAGAAGAATTGATTCTTCTGAAGAACATCAGAGCTTGCCAGGCTTAATCCAAATGCAGTGCAGCCATACGTGAACTCATTGTTGTAGAAGATACAGTTTATGTTACTATAAGCATGGTTTTCTGGAAACAGAAACAGGCAATTCTGTAATTAGTCGAGTCAATAACAACTAAGAAACAATCACAACACATCTACGCAACACAGCAATATTTTACCATGTCCACAAGGGGTCACTGTAGACCATAAGTTGGCTAAATAGCACATCTGACAAGTTGCTAGTAGTAAGGCAAGAACATGGCTAACAACAGTTAAACTAAACAATTAACGATTGAAAAATCCTTTAACCGCTGGATGTAATCATCACCGGAGATTCTGACCACTGCTACTAACTCTTTACTAAATAATTAAATAATTCTACCAACGTGGTATCACTATACTGAGGCACAACGTCAACATTCACAAACAGCTACAGCCATTATGATACCAGTTAACCTGTCAAAGGGAATAACACTTACAGGTTCATTAACACACATGTAATCACACAAAACCGCGTTACAACTGTTGCTGCTTTAGTCTCTCCCTCCCTGAGCACATGACCACTGATGCGCTTATTCCTTTTGGGTGCGCTTGATTCATGCCTCTAGACATCCTGAGGCCAAGACAGAGCAGGAAATTTGACCAGTGACCAACTGCAGAAGCTCCAATGACACCACAGGTATGTCCTAATTCCTAGGCTGCATCCTTCGGAGGCTGCATTTGAAGTCACATCCAGGCGACAAAGGCTGCTCTGAATGTGGCCAACAATTGCGTCCTCCTTCTCCCCAGATTTAAAGGATGGGTTGGGTGTGTCCTTCGTGGCCCACCATATCCCAGAACTCATAGCGCGGCCCAGCCAAGTCCAGTTTCCAAAATGGCGGCAGCTACTTAGTTTTAATATTTCTCTTATTACTCTTTCTGGATCACAAAATAAACTTTTAAGATGTTTTCATGTAGCTGTGTCAACTTCAATTATATGCTCGGTTTATCAAGACATCACATATTTGCAAAAGTGCTCCGTCGTTTTCTGAGACGTCTGTGACCCACCAGCTCGATAGCTGACCGGGAGGTCGAGGCTCACTAGAGCCCGGCGAGAACAGCGAACTCCATCGTTTTCAGACCCTGCGGTGACACTGTGTCATTTGTCTTTCCTCCATGAACTAGAGGAGATGCAGACTGACAGAGTGCTCCTGGTGTACTGTAAAATTCTGGAGACTGAACCTTGAACTTGGATTGGTTTGGTTATAGCAACACTTTCTTGCTGTTTGGGGGAGAAGAGACGGGGGACACAGAGTGTTGCTCATGACAAAAGACTGAACCTTTCTTTTTCCTTTCACCGAGGTGTGATGGCTTGTTCTTTGCAGCAACTGCTGTCTTGGATTTTCTATCTTGAGCTGGTGGGCAGACACAGTAGGCCGGTGCTGAGAGTAGTCCTGTCATGGTTCTGGGTCATTTTGACCCAGCATTTTAATAATAATAATGGATTGCATTTATATAGCGCTTTTCGAGACCCTCAAAGCGCTTTACAATTCCACTATTCATTCACTCTCACATTCACACACTGGTGGAGGCAGCTACAGGTGTAGCCACAGCTGCCCTGGGGCAGACTGACAGAAGCGAGGCTGCCATATCGCACCATCGGCCCCTCTGACCATCACCAGTAGGCAGTAGGGTAAAGTGTCTCGCCCAACGACACAACGACCGAGACTGTCCAAGCTGGGGCTCGAACCGGCAACCTTCCGATTACAAGATGAACTGCCAACTCTTGAGTTCTTAGGTTTTTGTTTATTTTTACATTATGGATTGTTTTCTGATCCTCTTGTGCTTTGTTGATTATTATTAGGATTCTATGTTTCTGTTTATTGGTGTTTAGGGATTAGTTCTTTGGTTGTGTCTCATGTTTAGTGTAGGTTCAGTTCCGTGTCTAGTCTGTGTCTTTGTGTAATGGTTTCTCGTTTCCTGTTTTATTGTGAAAGTCCGTGTCTCATGTGAGTGTATTCAGTTTTGCCTCCCTTGTCTCATCAGTTACTTCCAGCTGTGTCCCCCACCTGTGTGTAATCTCCCCGTGTTCTTCTGTGTGTATTTAAGTCGTGTCTTCTTATGTTGTAGTCGCTGGTCTGTCTGGTCGTGCTTCAGCCGTCATAGGCCGCTGTTCACCCTCCTTCATGCTCAGTAGTTTCGTTTTCCCAGTTCAGGTTATCTTTAGTCTGTTCGCTGTTTTCAGCTTGTGTTTTGTCTTACAATAAACCTCCTTCGCACCTCCACGAGTGCCTGCAATTGGACCCTCCTTTATTTTTCCCCACTCGCAGGGACAAGTCCTGTTGCTGAGGTTGGGTTCATCCTGTAATCTGTCATGAACTACTTGCACT